GCCAGGTATAAATCTTAACCATTATTTCAACTAAAATCATGGACTGGACCACGAGTACGTTGGGCGTACACTAGGTACGTACGACATACTCCTTTGCATGCGCGCATCGAGGATGACCCCTATGCATGTTGGGCGTACCCATGCGTACACAGGGCGTAATCAAGGTAGATGCAAACCCTAAATATTAGGGTTTGCACCCTATTTAAACTCATTAAATGCTTCAAGAACATCACCTTATCAGCCTCCCTTGCCTCTTAAGTCATATCTCGAAACCCTAATCCATTCTCCTTAAATTTTGAGCTTGTGTGTGTGTTTTTGGTGTGTGTAGTGCTTAGAGAAGAAGGAAAAGAGTTGTGTAGAAGCATTGGGTCAGGAAGATCTTGTAGATCCAGAGGTTTCTCATCATTTCTAGCTTATTGAAGGTAAAAAGCTTCCACCTTGATGAATCCATAAATTAGTTTGTAGTTTAGGGCTTATTTATTCATAATATGGCCCTTCAAGATGTTCTTGAGAGTATGAGCTACTCCAGAAGGTTATAATGCTAGATCCTAGTGTTTCTAATGTTCCTTGAGCTTAAAAATAGAGTCTTGATGGATTAAGTTCAATCATGCAAGGATTAAAGGTGGTTTCATGAAGATAATATGGTTTAATCCAAGATTTGCACCATTAAGACATGCAAAAGCATAAAGTTGGCAACTTTATGGCCTAATGCACTTGATCAAGCCTGGATCGAAGATTAGATGTTGGATCTTAACTGATTAAGACCTTGGGTTGAAGTTTTGGCCAGCTGCCACGTACGTCGGGCGTACCTCGGGGTACATTACGCGTACGTTTCTAAGTTCCCATCGGTGCGAGGGTTTCGAGTACGTCGAGCGTATTGGTTGGTACGCTGTTCATACTCACCAGAGAGGGTCTTGGGCTAATTTCGGGTCATGTGTGGTACTTAAGGATGTTGGGCCATAAGCTTTTGTTGTATTGGGCCTTTAGGGCTTTGTCACATTTGGGACATAGATTATCGATTGGTCTTCGTGGCTATTTCCATTTGGGTCTTGTTGGGCTAGGCCCAATAAGGCATGGAATAAGTAATTTTCTCCCTTAAGGGTAGGATTTAGGGTTTGTTCTTTCGGTCTGGATTATTGACCTAATTTGTAACTAGGGTCTTTTTATTTGTGATCTAGTGGGAATTTCCGATTCAGAACCCCAATCATTTGTTTGACAGTCAGCAGGCTAAGGTGAGTTTTCTCACTATATTGTAGGACACTAGGATATGTTATGTGCTTGTAGTCATTGTGACTACTGATGTATGTGTTATATGCATGTGTGCCTGTTTGTTATATGTATGTGGGGGTGAAATAGACCCGATACAACCTTGTGCTAACATATGAGTTGAAATAGACTCGGGAGTGAAATAGACCTGGGGGTGAAATAGACCCGGTATGGCTTGGGCCGACACATGAGTTGAAATAGACTTGGTGGTGAAATAGACCCGTGGTGAAATAGACCCGGCACAGCCTTGAGCTGGCAGATATGTATGGTATACGGTATCTTTTGGAACTCGCTAAGATTCGTGCTTAGGGTTTTCAGTTTATGTTTCAGGTACTTCCGGATGGAAGGGGAAGAGCTCGGGGTGATCTCATCGCACACACCATATTGTTCTGCATTATATTTGACTATGATGTATTTGAATGTTTTGGTTATACTCTGATTCTATTATGGTTTTATAAAATACCTTTGGATTGATGGTTTTATTATAATTAAATATGAAAATTTTGGCCTTAATTTTTGAGACGTTTCATGATATGTTATTTGAGTGTCACGCTTAATGAATCCGCCTTGACGTTTTCAAGATGACTACACATGCCTCGCACCATGGCACGTCTTGGCACCAAGGCCGTAGATGAGGGTGTGCAATGTGGGCACATACACATTGCCAAATTTTTTTAGTACTATATTCAATTTTGGCCCAAAGTCAATGCAAAATAGTCCAAAATCGGCATTCGGTTACGTACGGGAGAAGGCACAAGGCAACAGCGTCTAAGGCCTCGTAGAGACCAGTCGATTATACTGATTGCAACTCAGCGACAACGACAATAACAATAACTCAACGACAACCACTCCTGCTAATCTAATAATAATCATGCAAACGATTAAGAATTAGTTTTACAGTTTATCATTATCAGTTTTATCATTATTAGTTTTACATGAAATCTTGAATGTTGAAATCTTGAATGTTGAATGAATGTTGTCATGTTAAATGAATCATTATCAGTTTTACGGTTTATTACTAATTCACTGTTGGGATAATCTAGAAACGGGGACAATTTTGGTCCTAGGGGTATTTTCAGAAAAACTGTCATACTTTAGTTTTGGTATATGTTTAGGATTCTGTTTTCCGGTACTCATATTTTACTAGGTTTCTTTTATCATTTAGTATAAGCAGGTTCCACTAGTTTGATGTTAATTTAAGTTTTAAGTCCTTAAGTTTGTATTTCGATTTACGTTTAATAAGAAATAAAGTTTAGTCAGCAAGTTTTTATCGTTTCTTTCCTTGGTTTCTTTTCATCCCATGTTCACGATTCTCCTTGATGAACAAGGACTTGCACCTGTTCTATTGGTTACACTTGACAAACTTGGTGAACAAGTCAATTTTCCAGATGTTTTTTGTTACATTTTCTTTTTCTACTCTCATTTGTTTACTGCCTAATCGTTTTGTTTGTCACAAAGACTAAACCTTGTTGATCAAGGTTAATCTCCACGTTTACAACTTACATTCACTATATTATAGTTAATATATCAAGCTTAATCTCCACGCTTATTAGATTATTATTATAGTTAATGAGTAATAATTTTTACACATTAAGGTGTGAGAACTGTTTTTTTTCTGTTCATTCTGGGCATTTGAATCCTCAGGACCGCCATGTTTGGCACGCACCATGTACACTTTTTAGAACCATTGATACAGGGACCAACATGCTAGAAACCATGATATAAGGACAAAATTTTCAAAAATGTTCATTTGTGTATCTAAACCAAAAAGCCCAACTACAAACAGGACCGAATTTGTACATTAGTTATTTTTATAAAAAAAAATAATTAAATACAGGTTTTGTTATGATCTGATTACATAACATGTTATTTTTAGTTTGATTAAATTGAGTTTTCCTTTGTAAGTTGCTTGCAAGTCTAAAAGAAACTGTAGATTACCATCCTTACCTAATCCGGAAACATCCGTTTCCTTAACCTCTCGTTGCTTGCGTCACCGTCAATCAACACGGGCCACGTGTCCCCCTTGTTTTAATCCGCACTCGTCTCAGATAATCACTGACGTCTATGCATCATATTAGGCAACGTAGGTCACCACACTCACCCTTCCCTCTCACACAAACACCACAAAACACACACTCATATATACGTATATATATTTTTTATAAAGTTTAAACCAAAGGGTTAAAATCATGATTATCATAAATTATCCCATATCTGTAAATTTATTCCAATAATATTTGAATTGTTTTAGGTAAGATTAAGATTGTTATCATTCATTTAATTAATTTTTAAATGTTTAATATTTTTATTATATTGGTTAATTGAATCGGATATCAATTATAGAAAATTCATTTTGATTTGTTTATTATTAAGTGATATATTAAAAATATACTTTTTATTTTTTAAACTATTTACTTTTAATTAAATGGTTAACAGATAAAAAAATATATTTTTTATGTTTTAAATTATTATTAGTAGTTTTAAATTATTATTGTTAGGATCTTATGATATTAGTTCGATGTCGGTGTTGCAAATCAGAAAATGAGTTTGACGACCTTGCTTTAAACAAACCTATAGTAATTAACTTCTTAATCCAACAATTCAAAGGCAGTTTTCAAAAATACTTTGCTCTAATAATTATCCATAATAATGATAGAGATAAGTTTAATTGAGAAAAACAAAAGGGTTGGAAATTGTGAAATCAATCTCAATCACATTTATCATTTCGCAAAACACTCTATCGTACCGACGGAAATAAACAAATGTATACACATGTGTTTTTAAAGTATTAATATGTTTCTTAAAACTATGCTACTCATTATCTCTAGTTTGAGACGAAGACATAGGGTGTGTTACTGTTTGACACGGAACGGTTGAGAGCTCTTAGTTTTCTAGCTTTTTGACAAACACTCCGTTTTTAAACAAAAAACTTTGTTTGACACTATAAAATTTTAGTGTTTAGTTTAAACAAAACGATTTAAGATAAATGATATGTCACGTAACGTTTAACAAAATGTTATTAGCTACCAGCTACTTGATACCTGCTACTTATTATCAGCTAGTTTTTGCCAAACACAACCATATAATTTGAAAAAAGAGATTTGAGTTAACGTTTCTAAAACAATATTAAAAAATATATATATAAATAAATTTTGCCGAATGGAGTAGTAAGTTGTAACAAACATTTTTAATGCATATCATAAAACATAAAACATGTGAGAAGGTCACATAAAATGCATTATCTAAAGCATAATTTATATACGAGTACTATATAACACTATATAAATAAGCATGTGACAGTGCATTAATTTGTAAATCATTATTCTTTTATTACGTATACTTATAAATAATACCACTTTTGCTAAATTTTAAGGAGTTACTGGCTATTAATCGTCAACACTTTCACATTTTTCATTTTCCCCCACTTATATATTCAAATCAATAAATATTTTTAAATTAAAACTATAGATATAACGAATAATCTGTATTTTGGTAAATGAGGATCATATTTTACACAATGATAATTTACGTTCTCTTTCACGCACAACCACCATAATCACACACACTTCTCTCACTCGTCATCCCCCATGCATTTCTACAAGAAAGATATCTGAACACAAATTCTTCTCTCTCACACACACGCCAGCTATATATATACTCCCCTCCGTCTTCAACTTCTTCACACCTCCCATAACTTCTCACCTTCCCTACAACTACCACCTTGCGGGTCTCCAATGTCAAGGATAATGGCGGACAATATGAAAGATACCACGGCGTTTTATGATCGACGACAGGCGGCAGCGAATGCAGCGCCTTCTCCGACTCTCGGGGAGCTTTTGAAGTACGTCGGCGATATTAGGAAGGAGGGAAGCGGAGATGAAACGCCGGCGCATCGCGTTTTGGAGATGAGTGAAACCAGCAACGAGCCTCGGTCGTTGCCGTTTGTTTTATCGTTTAATAATTTAACGTATAGTGTGAAGGTTCGTAGTAAGATGGCTCTTCCGGCTGTGTTTGGAGGGAGTACTACGAGGTTAGGTGGTGGTGGTGCTCCGGCGACGTCGATGGAGGCGGTTGGAGTAGAACGGTTGTTTTCGAGGAGTAAGGTGTTGTTGAATGATATCTCCGGTCAAGCGAGAGACGGCGAGATACTGGCGGTGCTTGGTGCGAGTGGCTCCGGGAAATCGACTTTGATTGACGCTTTAGCGAATCGAATTGCTAAAGGTAGTTTGAAAGGAACAGTGACTTTAAACGGCGAACAATTGGAATCCAGATTACTGAAAGTGATTTCTGCTTACGTAATGCAAGATGATCTCCTTTTTCCGATGTTAACAGTCGAAGAAACGTTGATGTTCGCCGCTGAGTTCCGCCTCCCTCGAACGCTGTCCAAATCGAAGAAGAAGTTAAGAGTTCAAGCGCTAATTGATCAGCTAGGTCTCCGGAACGCTGCCAAAACTGTCATCGGAGATGAAGGTCACAGAGGAGTCTCAGGTGGCGAACGCCGTCGTGTTTCAATTGGAATTGATATCATTCATGATCCGATTATTCTACTTCTCGACGAACCCACGTCGGGGCTCGACTCCACCAGCGCTTACATGGTGGTTAAGGTTCTACAACGTATTGCACAGAGTGGAAGCATCGTCATCATGTCCATACACCAGCCTAGTTACCGGATTCTTGGATTGCTCGATCGTCTCTTGTTTCTCTCCCGTGGACAGACGGTTTACAGTGGTTCTCCGACGAATCTCCCGTTGTACTTTTCAGATTTCGGCCATCCTATTCCGGACAAAGAGAATCGGACTGAATTCGCACTTGATTTAATCAGAGAACTCGAAGGATCACCAGGTGGAACCAAAAGCTTAGTTGAATTCAACAAATCATGGCAAAACCTCAAAAGGTCTCGAAACAGCATTTCCACCGGCAATGAAACACCAACACACGGTTTATCCCTGAAAGAAGCCATCGGCGCAAGTATATCCAGAGGTAAACTAGTCTCCGGCGCCGGCGCCAGCAACGACATCAGCCCTAATTCACTTGTCCCTACCTTCGCAAATCCAATGTGGATGGAATTGATGGTTTTATCAAAACGATCATTCACTAATTCACGAAGAATGCCTGAGCTATTTGGGATTCGTTTAGGTGCTGTTGTGGTTACAGGTTTCATACTTGCCACCATGTACTGGAACCTCGATAATTCTCCAAAAGGTGTTCAGGAACGATTAGGGTTCTTCGCATTCGCCATGTCCACAACCTTCTACACCTGTGCAGACGCATTGCCTGTCTTCCTTCAAGAACGTTACATTTTCTTACGAGAAACAGCTTACAACGCTTACAGACGTTCATCATACGTTCTCTCTCACTCCCTAGTTGCAATCCCAGCTCTCGTCTTCCTTTCCTTCGCATTCTCTGCAATCACATTTTGGGCAGTGGGACTTGACGGTGGTTTTTCAGGTTTCGTGTTCTACTTCTTCATAATCCTTGCCTCCTTCTGGGCCGGAAGTTCCTTCGTCACATTTCTCTCCGGCGTCGTTCCTCACGTCATGCTCGGATACACCATCGTCGTCGCAATTCTCGCTTACTTCCTTCTCTTCAGTGGCTTCTTCATCAACCGTGATCGAATCCCCGATTACTGGATCTGGTTCCACTACATCTCCCTCGTCAAATACCCATACGAAGCAGTTCTACAAAACGAATTCCAAAATCCGATCAAGTGCTTCGTTCGTGGAACTCAAATCTTCGACAACAGCCCTCTTGGAGAAATCGATAACTCCATGAAAGTTAGACTATTACAAAGCATGAGTAAGTCACTTGGGGTGAACATCACCAGCACCACTTGTTTGACCACCGGCGCCGACATACTGAAGCAGCAGGGAATCACCGATCTAAGCAAATGGAACTGCTTGTGGGTGACGGTGGCTTGGGGCTTCTTCTTCAGGATCCTATTCTACTTCTGCTTGTTGTTAGGAAGCAAGAACAAGAGGAGGTAAAGTGTAAAGATTTGAATCTTGATGTACTGGAATGCAATTTCATAATTACAGTTACTTTTTACTTTTTATTTTTTGGGAATGTAATGAAAATATTAAATTTGGTTAGGTGTAAAACTGTTGGGAATTTGCAAAATATTCATATGAATTTAAGTCAAATCACCTTCTAACTTTAGGTTACCTGCAATCTTTATGTGGCCCCAAGTTTATTTTCTCTTTTAATTAATGATCTATCTTAAAAAATCATACAAACATTTATGTTGTAAGAAAAAGCTTGTCAACTGCCATAAAAAATGTAAATATAATTTTTACGAATTTATATTTTATATGTTGTTGGAGTACTGTACCAAACCACCGACCACTTGACATGTGTTTGCGTATTGCAAAGTGAATTGTTAAGGTGATGAATGCATGATAGAAATTTTCATGGTTTCAGTTTGGTTATCTTTACGTGTGGTATTTTAAGTCTTAGGAAACGTTATGTTTATGTATGCTTTAGATGTTCACTATAGCCAAAGAATTTGATCCAAGCGAACAATCTTCAAATATAAGATGGCAAAAGTTTGGTTTTAAATAAAAGGGAACGATTTAACATATCCACTTTAGTATCTATAAAATCAAAGGTTTGTGGATCAATATTTTGAAGCTGATGAGTGGAACAACTTAAACGGATTATATTAGTGCCAAATCTATTAGTTAAGATTTGTTAATAACTTGTAACAAATGATCATGTTTTATTTATGAGGAAATCACTTAAAAGAATAATAGTGTTTTTGTTTTGTACATATTTAGTTTTCTATTTTATTTTTTAATATTTTTTTGGCAAAATATACCAATAAACTTGTTGGTTTTTGTACATTCATTTTGATATGCAACTTCGGGTTTTGCAAAAATTGCATCGTGCATAATCAGTAATGAGATGACATTATATGCGGCTTATTCCAGAAAAATTACTTAAAAGATAACATTGTTTTCATTTTGCATACATTTAGTCTCTTATGTATTTTTTTTTGCAAAATAAATCAGTAAATTTGTTGGTTTTGTACACATTTAGTCATTTTGACCTGAAACTCCAGGTTTTATCAATCATTTTTGGAAATTACAGGTTTTGTAGTTTTTTTCTGTATTATGTGGTTCATTCCTCCGTCAAAAACCCATTTAAGGTTGACCTTTTGAATTATGGCACAATTACTCTCACCATTAAGCATACCAAATCCTTCGATGAGAACAAGAGTGCATAGAAGTGGTTCCTAGACAATTTTATGAATGAGATTGGAAGGGAAAATGATAGTGTATTACAATCTTCTTAAACCGACACAAGGTAATACTTTCATTTATATTTATTGTTTTAATCATGCATATACTAAAAATTATGAGCAATGTTTAATTGAAGCTATCAAGGAAATGGTATCGTAAGTGGAACATAGATTGTGTGCTTGTCACATCCTTGCTAACTCTCATGAAAGGTTTAAAGGTGAACACGTTTTCAAACCATTTTGGATTCTTCTGACTTTTGAGCAATAGAAGGGTTAATTTTTCATAAATTAGGTTTATTTTTTCTACACACTGAATTGAGATGTGAAAATCTTGTATGTATAGTAAATTAAGCTTAGCGGTGCTGAGCATTTGTCTTCGCGTTGCTAAATGTGATCTTCGTAGATTCTTTCCAAAGTAAAAATCTTATTCGCGACACTATCCCTTATCAATGTGTTTTAAGGCAACTTCGAATTTTTTCCTTATCTTCTCCATATTTTACACCAATCGTCTGCTTTTATCTTTAGCTCTAGATTTTGACCATACTTATCATATATTAAATATTAAAAGAATTACCTAGATTTTATGATTAATTTAACTAATATCATTGCCCTCAAGCTAATATAGAATCATAGAACCTCAAGATATTTTAAATAAACTACAAGCAACTCACAATAATAAGATAATACAAGAAATATTCTTATAATTTAAGCATTATCAAAATAACCTAAGCTTATGATTTGTTTTCCTCAAGCAAACAAGGATAAATCCGGGCTAAATTACAACTCAATTCCAACATTACTACACAAAAACATTATTTACCAATATTATACAAAAGAAGTCAATTTAAAAACATTTTTTAAAATTATCAGAGTTTATCGTGGTAATAAACAATAGTAAAAATACGGTTTTTTAAAAAACCTTTTTAAAACTATCAAAGTTTACAACTGTTTAGTATTACAAAACTAATATCAATAATCATAGTAAAAGAGAAAAAATTACACAACCCAAAGACTTCACTAATTCATCTATATGCCTTATATATGAGTGCACTCTAAACTTTAACTTTCATACATGAGTACATAACACTAAATACATAAATCAAAAAACTTGTGAGCTACATGAGTTTTGACCCAACAAAACAACTAAAGACTTGTTTTAAAATTATATTTGAAACATAATGACAACTTTATAAAAATCAAGCAACTCATAAACATATATAACTCACGTGTAATTTGTTTATCAAGGACTCAATACCTCAAAAAAACATATAAATAACATACGTCCATGAGGAATCTCAGGGGTGGCAAATCTGGACATCGTGTCGTGTTTTTTTTCTGACACGACACGACACGACAAAGTTTTATGTAACACAAACATGACGCGACATGATGTCGTGTTTTTTTAGGTAACACGAAAACGAACCAATTAAAAAACGATAGACACGACACGACACGGAAAAGATAACATAAAATAACAATTTGTTTATTTAATTAATACTTAATCATACATAACACGACAAACGCGAAAAACACAAAAAACAAATGCTAAATTGTGTCAATTTCATGTCGAATTTTGAACACGGACATGACACGACACGACACGACATTGTGTTTTTTACACTTGACACGAACACGACACAAACACGAATTTAACTTTCAGTTTCATCCCAATTTTGTTTCGTGTCATGTAGTTTTATCGTTTCGTGTCATCCATTGTCACCCCTAAGAAATCTACACCCCTCTTGCACAGACACAATGAGCCCATAGGGAATCTACTCCCATAGTCGATAAACTACCATCTCATGTCTAGCTACGAAAGAACATATCACATTGTTGATCATGTAAGGCATCTACACCCCTAACCACTACTTCACAATGAGAGGTACCATCCTACTAGTGCCACATCGTCCCATTACAGGGACCTATGAATTCATTTATATCACAACACAATAATAGTGAAAACTCATCATGAGTAATCAAATATCATGTAACCCTTAGGCCTCACACATCAAATCATTTTCACATAAACGACTTGCTTGCTATCAAACATTTCAATATAAGATAACTCACTTTGCTATGTACCCAAAAAATCAACATGTACTCACCTAGTCAGTTAGTGAAAACTAACTTCTGCCTTGGCCTCAAGCTTTGTGTTGCCTCTTAACTTATGACTTCGCCAAAACCAATTCAATTAAAATATCAAGTTCCTCAGAACTTGTCAAAATTCTCAAACAACTTAAATTGCATGTCAACCAACAGTGATTATTTTCTTGACCACTTAATGATGTCAGTAACTATTTGTTACCAAACCAATTAAGCTCCACAATAAAACTGTTAAACGACTTAAATCATCAACCCATTAGGTCAATATCACATTCCTAGTAATTCCATAAATTAGGGTTTATAACCCTCATTAACCAAATCAAGAATTCCAATGTGAAATTCACTCACTAAGTTTACCATTATGTTCATAATAGCATCATATTATGAACTCTAGTAACTAAATCGAGTTCTAACTACCTTTCTCATTTATGTTATGTGAACACAATTACGAAATAATAAGACAAGAGGATACCTTCATTCATTCGGTAGTATGTACCCTAGTGTTAATCTTCCCGCAAAAATCCCCGAGAAATACCCCTCAAGTTCTCCTCTGAACAACATATATAACAACAAGCAAACGATTAACACAAGCTCTCTCTCTATATATATATATATATATATATATATATATATATATATATATATATATATATATATATATATATATATATATATACATATATATGAGCTTGAACGAAAAACGTTGCATATGTGTGTATCACCATATCTTGAATGTAGCTCATTCTAGTTACACGCGTCCAACACCCAGATACGTCGATGCATTGTGCCTATCACAATGACGAATTACATTCATCCGTATTTCGTATAACTTGCCACATATCACAGATCTTATACACGTATCATATGTCATTTACATGTATTTACACTTTGTGTTTATCAAATACATGCTTCGCATTCTCTCGCTGACTTCTATTGATCATGACTTAGACCAAAGCGTGTCACGCTGTTCTTACGAAAGAATTGCATTCTTATAAAGGTAATGAATGTTAGAGAACTTCATGTGCCTTCCTTTTTTCACGTCATGTTTAACTAATATAGAATGAATTTCTTAAATAACAACTCGATTTAATGTCTACACCGGGATTGACTCTTTACACAATGTTGAACACAACTACATATCGGGTAGCATATGCTGATAACTTTCTCATCCGTCTCGTCTCTTCCTTTTTCCGGTCTACCATAACTACACCCGTAACGCCCAAAATGTTTTAATAGGTACACCCTAAAATTTATTTATTTACAACCTTATAAAACAATTTGGTGTAAAGTTATTACCAGGAATCGGATTGGCATCAAGTACAGGATCTAAGTCGGACACTACAACAACCTAACCTACAACACAAAACAACTAAAAAAATGAAATTCAAAGGCTTAGTTAATAACAACTACAATAATGTAACAACATATATGATCATATAAATCAACTTATCAACAAAAAATATATACCACATCAAATATACTACTTATCCATATCAATTGGTTATTGTCTCATGACTCTTTCTCAGACCTACAAGTATTATTTCACCGAATTTGTTATTGCCTTGTAACACCATTAAGGCTAACCAATAATTCACCACTAATATATAGATACATACCTTTGAATATACTCTGTCCAAGGTAAAT